TATTTATTTGCCATAAAAAACAGAAGGATGACATGCCGAAATATCTGTTTTAAAATTAAAAATATAATTGGGTTTTAAAAAGCCCGATTGAGCACGGGTTTGCATATGATGACAATTTGCATGGGAAGATGTCGGCGGTGGAGAGGGCTCGGATGGACCGCATAGGATGACAATTTGCATGAGAATTCAATGAAAGTCCTTACACCACCAATAAATGTATAGTATCAAAGAACGCACATTTATCTGGAAGGATGTAAATTGAGCTTTGATATCACTTTGATGGAAAGAGAGTGGAGTTTCATCTTAAATCATTACTCAAGTCATTGCTTGTAGTTGAACCAACCACCTTTCTTTTGTCACAGTCCCTTTCTACATTGTGTATACTTCAATGCACAAGAAGTTGGTCTCATTGATTAAGCATTCAGTGTGTTCCCACACATTTGCGGAAAAATTCTAATAATTTATATATTTGCATGTATAATGTATTAATATTTTTAATCTATAACAAATATGTTCATATTTTAAATTTCAACCCCGCAATGTAAATTTTTTAGACACCATTCATCTTAACAATATATTTCTAGCTCCACCATGACCACAGCTCACAGGTTAAATTATGTTGGAGTAGTACTCCACCAATTCAACAACAAGAGAATACTTCTGAAAAAATATGCATACAAATTTTATTTGTAGTACTTAAATTTCAGATTTTATAATAAGTTTAAAAAATAAAAGAATATACGGAGTATTTATTTTTTATAAGGGCTTCACATGTTTTGTAACTACAAGTTAATTTATTTTCAAATATTTTGCTATACACTACTTAAAAAAACATATAACCCACAATATGATACGGAGGTAAAGGAGTAGTAATAAAACATTGATTAAGTTTACAAATAAAACTAATTGTGTTTTATTTTAAAAAACAAGTCTAATAATTAATACAACAACTCAAATTAAATTTTATCTTTATAAAATCATTGTGTTATATTTTGGGGAAAAGAATGGTGTTTCCGTTTGAAGAAAAATTTCTCTTATGCAGATCCCCACTTGTAATAACAACAAATACAATTAGTGAAATATATTAATTAGTTAATCACAAACTGTCAACCACAATGATGGGAACATTAATGGAAAATTTTTGGCAAAATACTTGGAGAAGCAATACCCGATAATTAAATGAATTACAATTTATATTTATAAATAAGCATTATGCGTACAATTAGCATTTTTGAGAACTTAATTATACTCAGGAATGGTAACGAGCACCGGTCGCCACGCCCGCCTAAGCAGCCTCTGACGGATCGTCGCCGATAATGGTCGAGATGAACGGTCCCCGAATATCCGGCCACCGGAAAACCCCATCGCCTGCGACAGCCCCATTCTGGCACTCCCTGACGACCGCTCAGCCAGCGAAGACGGCGGAGATGACAACACCAAGAAATCCCTGAGCTTGAGCTTATGATTCCTGTTTCTCACCGTCAGCTCCTTTCCCTTCTCCGGGGAACCTCTGTTTTCTACAATCTGGCCGGAGGAGCAGCCATCTCTGATCGGCAGCCGCCGCACAGCACTGCTCCCGCCGCCACGGCTTAGCAGCATACGGAGAGTCTTCCGCCGGCGGAGGTGGATAACTGGGCTAGAAGATGGGCTCAGTGTTGGGCTCCCTGCCACCGCACACTGCGTTGCCAGGAGCTTGAATTTTTGCAGAGTCGCCATTTATTTATTCCCTGTAATAATAAGAAATTGTGCGGTTCTCAAATCCCTAGAAAAACAGGGTCATTTCTAAGAAGGGAAGTTCTCAGATCTGGGGTTGTTTTGAGGAATGGAATTTCCAGACTCTTAAATGCTTGAAGATAATAAGGCTACGATTATGGATCGGAGTGAGGAAATGAGATGCTAAAAAAAATGCAGAGGAGATAAATGGGAAAGAAACAGGGGAAAGGGAAGCCTGTCAAATGGGCTGTTTGGGTCTTTTGGGCTTAACCCCAACAATAAACTAATCAGTTCTCAACAGCTTGCTGGGCGTTTATTGGTTGGAATTGCGTATGACGTGATATTCCAGATTCACGTGAGGGAATCTATGCCGTACTAAGCAGGCATTCTCGGTCAATATAAGTGTGATTTTTGTTTGAAATTTTTTCTTACTTGTCTCAATTGCAAGATTCCTATACAATAGTCACAATTGAAAATTACGGAATAGTTAATTAAAAACCTAAAATAGGACTTGCTATGTTTTTTAAGATCATGAGTCCTATTGTAAACATATCTATTTTTGCATTCCATTCTTACCCTTCCATTAAATATGAATTAAAAATAGTCAAAAGCCATAATTAAATGTTTATTTCATAATAAATTCGAAAAAAATTCAAAAATTCGTAGAAATATAATTAAAAAATTTATAAATTTTTTTATAAAATAAAAATTTCAAAAACTTTTTTTAAATAGATTTATTTTTAAAAAAATTAATAAAAAATAGTAAAACTCCGTAAAAAAAATTTAAAAAAATATGGATGCCTTTCCCACCGCCTGTACTTCCTCCAAGCACCATCACCTCCGGGCGATGAAAAAAATGCCATTTTCCCAGAAAAATGCCATTTTTTTTCTGAAAATGCCAAAAAAGTGGCATATTTCTCTTTTCGAATGTCAACATTTTCATTTTTTTCTGTCATAAATATGGCATTCGTAATGAACTTGGCATTTTTTCCCCTTGGTGACTGGAGGTGGTAGTGCAGAGGCGGCGGCGATTTTTTTTTTGAGTTTTTATTTTTTTAAAATTTTTTTGAAAAAAAAAATTAATTAAATATTTAATATCGAAATGTTTTTCTTAATTTTTTAGTATTTTTACGATTTTTTATTATTTTTATTATTTTATTAGGAATTAAAACATTTTAATAGCTATAAGGGTATAATTGTCCAAGGTACACATAATTAGTCCTATGCAAACATAGTTCATTTTTTGGTCCTATTTGTAAAAAGTGAATGACTTTTAGTCCTATTTTGATAATTAACTCTTAGTTAATTGCGATGAAATGTTCTACTTGAAGTGGTTGAAGTGGTTGGATTTGTTAATTATACCGATTTATGAAAAAATTATATTTAAAATATTTTTTTATTAATAAAATGAAAAATTATATGAAAAATAGTTAAAATGATGTTATATAGTAATTTCAATCAATACAATCAAAAAAATTATTTCAACCTTACATTTTCTTAGTATAACACAATCTAATCTAGCGCGCTAAATCAAAATTTACGTTTTTTATGAAAGTGATAAGTCAAAAAATAGAATCACCAACCTATGTTATTTTGTCCCATTTCAATAAAGAGTGGTGTGATAACAAACAAAAGTAACTAATGATATAATAACAAAATATCATTGTCATCCATCAACAAGAAAAATGTAAATTACTTTCAACATAAAGCCCGTTTACTGACCCTGTTTTTCGACTTATCGGACTTATCAACCATCTTTTTCATCAAACACATAACTTTTTATTTTTCGCGCTAAATTGTGTAATAATAAGAAAAAGTACAATTGGAGTTACTTTTCTAGTTGTACTGACTAATAAAATACATATTAAATACAATTTTTTAATTAATAAAATACATATTAAATACAATTTTTTTTTCATAAATCTGTAAAATCTTCAGCCAAACCAGTCACTTCAGTCAAAACTTCATAAATTTCAGCAGAATCAACCAATGTAGCCGATTTGGATATTACCAAGCGGGCTCATATATTAAAGCATGAACAAAAAAAAAGTCAATATTTTTCAAATCATAATAATCTAGTATAAGACATTAAATTTGTACAATTAAAAATTAAGAAATGAATAATATATGATACTTAATGAGTGTTCGACTCATTAAGGAGTATGCACGTTGGCCATGAAGGTTGTCCTCCAAGGATACTTTTGATTTACGATCATGGAGGATTTCGCTGATTATGCAAGGAAGTGTGACACCTGCTAGAAGTTTCAGAAGAGTCGAGGAAGCAGACCGACAACGATGTTCATACCTATTAGCATTGCTCTACCATTCACCCGTTGGGGAATTTATTTAGTTGATCCCCTGCCAAATGGATCTGGGAATAGGAAGTTCGTCATCATAGTCGTGGATTACTTCACGGAGTGGGTTGAGCCCGAACCGCTCGCCAGCATAACACACCTCCAATGCAATAAATTTATCAGGAAGAACACATTTTTCCGATTCGGAGTTCCCCTACAAATCATCTCCGACAATGGAAGACAATTCGATTGCGAACCATTCAGGCAATTATGTGTCGAGTGGGGTGTGGAGTCCAGTCGGGTATTTGTTTGCTATCCCCAAGAAAACGGATAAGTGGAGAACGTCAATCACACAATCGTGGATGGTCTCCAAAAGAAGTTGGAATCCCCTGAAACCTCCTGGGTTGAAGAGCTAAGTAACGTGCTATGGACATTCTGAAGAACTCCCCCAGAAGGCGACTGGCGAGACTCCTTTCGCTATGTGTTATGGCTTTGAAGCGAGGGCTCTCTTCGAAGCAGTGATTCCCAGATGAGTGGAGGAGTTTGAGCTGGCTAGCAACGAGGAAAGGCTTCGGGCCGAACTCCACCTCATTGATGAAAGAAGAGATCATGTGTTCATCATGGCTGAGAATTACCGCAGGCAAGTGAAGGCATACAAGACAACAAAGCAGTGCCCCAGAACTTCGACGTAGGAGGCTATGTGCTGATGTTAGACATCGTCCCTCCATGTTTTTTTCGTTAGCCAGCTTTGATTTTTCAAGTCATTGATGCTAAACTTTGACCGATAATAAATTTTATATGAAAACATTTATAATATGAAAAGTGATATGAAAATGATTTTTGTTAGAAATAATATCATAATTTTTTTTGTAAATTGTACAAAAATAAATTAGTTAAAGCGATTGATCAAAGTTTATTATCACTAACTGAAAAGGTAAAAATGACTTAAGTAAAAAGGCACTAAAATAGTATCTAAATTATAAATACAACCCACAACACAATACTTTTAACTATTAGTCTATCAATATAGAATTATAATTTTCAAACCCACAATATAATCCCTTTTACATTTATTTGTCTTCTTTCTTCTTCTTTAGAGACACATAATATGAATTATATGAAGTTACTCTTTCTCCTAGCATGTTCGATGAAGTGTTGAACATTTACAATATACATTACATTCTAGTATATTGATGGATAGGGGCAAGCTAGCAAGGCGGCTTTAGTGGGCAACCTCGTACACCAAATCTAGGAGTTTGTTTTCCAAAACTTCAGAGCAGATCTTCCCCATCATGCGGTAGAAGGAACTGAGGTCGTAAAGTTGGTCAACGCTCATCTTCCCCATCACCTTCCTTGCCAACCCTTCCCTCTCCTCATTCAGCTTCATACTCTCCATGTAAGAGCTTCCGTTTCTCACCGTCGCACCCATCTGCTTCAACCTCTTCTCTTGTTGCTCACTTAACACTGTATTCGACTGCCACAACGTATGTTCAATCAATTCAAGATTCAAGAAAATATTTCACATATTAACGCGGTGAGATTTGCAATTGAAATAATTTCAGATATATAACCAAAATAAATAGTAATGGACAAAAATGTGACCCTGATAACTTTAGTTATTATAATTGTATCAAAAATTACATTATACCATCATAGTGACTATTAAACTTACACATTGTAACTTATGGTCACATTTTTGTTCATAAATTGTTATAGTAATATTTCAGGAAAAACCTTTTTTCAATTTAAGCTCCTAAGTTTCGATTATATCCATTATTAGTATTATAAGTCTGGTATTTTTTCACTTGTTAATAGTATATATTGTTGTATATTCAAAGTTCAAACTAATTTGAATTGTTGTTATGTTGACCCACTCGCACAGCTCATTGATACCGCATGAGTAACGATAATCATTAGTTTGTTAATTAATTTTATATTCTTATCTGTACACATCAATTGTAAAGGTCAAGTGTATTTATACACAATGGAGTGAATGATACGAGATACTTTGAATTATATCTCTTCTCCTTCATTGAATTCTAACTTGGTAGTAGGCCAAATTTTCTCCATTTTTTCTCTTCTGATGGCTTCTTCCAAATCACCCTCTTTCCATCCTACCCTAGCTCTCACTAATATTAAAAACTTCATTCCCATTACTCTTGACATGGAGAATGTCGAGTATTCTTCTTGGAAGAAGCTCTTTAAAATCATCAACCGTGTTTATCAAGTTGTTGATCACATTTTTTCTGCGAACGTTGATGCCTCCACCGCCTCAACATCTTCTTCTCAAACTCCTGATTTGAACCCGGAGCAAATATGGGAGGCTACCACCGCCAAAGCCAAGTCCACCGCAATATGAAATCGTCAAGGAAGCATGTGATCGGCTTGCTGACCTATTCCTGGACAACAAGCACTCCCAGGCGGTTTACCTTGAGAGTCAATTCTCTAATACCTGGTTAGAGAGTTTTCCCAACATCTATGATAATGCAAAGCTCTCAAGACTTTGGCCACCCAACTATCAAATGTTGGGTCTCCTGTTGATAACAAACGATTGGTGGTGCGCCTTGTGAATGATATTTATGCGTCCTATATGACACTCCCCCTTCTCTCATACAACAAGCCACCCCTTTCCCACTGTTTCAACAAGCCCGTTCCATGTTCATACTTGAAATCCCGAAAATCTCATCAAGGTACTCATTGTAACACCGTCCCCAAATGTATTTACCTTTAAGCGAATAATTTATTGAACCTTATGAAGTTTTTAGTAAATTTACGAAGTTGTGAATTTGTATAATATTTTTCGCGTGAATAGTAAATTGCACGTGGGGCCCACATCGGGACTGGGGACCGCCCGATATTATCGGGGCCACATATTATATTGATCTTGGACTAGATAATATGTATATGGTGGTGGATATCCTAGTTGAGCCATGACAATGGCATAGGGTTGACCGGTTGGTCAAACGGGGCCAAATTATCAGTATCGGAAATCTATCAGATAACAGCCCGAAAAGGGATTTCGGAGACTTCTAAATTAAAGTTGAGGGATGCATATTGATTCTAAGGTCCATTAAGAATTGGGAACAAGTGTTATATTTTATTTGACCCGATAAAATAAAATATACTTAAAACAGTCCGGAAAATACAACTTTCGGGGCAAATTGCACACTTTGGGACAAATTAGGATGACCTCCCACATGGGTGGGGGCCACCCCACGAAGTTGTCAACCCTTGAGGGCTGGATGAGTGCCAAATTGGCTGAACAACAATTGAGAGGATGGGGGAGACACCTTTGACATGTTGTAGACCCCCTCATGTTGAGAGGATGGGGCCCTTTCACTCATTGCCCAAAAGGAGACAAAAGGGGCATTCCTACCCATCCCCTCCTCATTAGTTCGGCCAGCAGCAAGGGAAAGGAGGAAAGAACCTCTGCAACTTCATCTCCATAGCCCCAAATCCGAACTCAAGCTCAAGGGAGTCCAAGAAGAAAGTTTAAGAAGGAAAAAGCTAGGAAAAAGTGTGAAAATTAAGGTAATGGCCTTATCATAACTTTTTCTTTGTTTTTCTTCTAGCATATAAGATATATATCATATGAAAGACTTTTAGTATTGTTCTACATGATTTAAGTGTGGAATAATGGGTTGGAAGGTGATTCTAAGTCCAAAAAACGGACTTAGAAGCCAAATCGACCGGTTTGCCGGAAAATAACCTTTTATAGGTTATTTGTGTTGATATGGGTTTTGTGATGATAAAACCTTGTTAGGAACCTGATTTAAAGTATTTTTGAGCCTCGCCGGAGTTTCGCCGGAGTTGGTCAAAGTTCAATCGAGAAACGTAGAACGCGCTTAAGCTTAATTAAGGTGAGGATGACCGACTATGATACTTATAATCTTTGGGTTAATTTCATGGGATTTCCTAAGTGAATATAAATGTGATGTGCATGAATTGTTGATGGTTAATAATGCATAAATAGAACTACTATTGATTAAAATTATAGTATGCATGATACACAAATTTATGAATAAATTGTGTATGTTTAGATGTTATGAATATGTGTGTATGATGGTTGTACCAACCATGAATATCATTTGAGATAGTATACTTTGATGCCATGAGGAGAAGCCATGAAGGTATGAAAGTGATACTTGATATTAAGGCCAATTATGCAAGAAGAATGAATTATATTGAAATAAATAAATAACTAGCATTGAAATATTAGTTGGAAATGTTAGTTGAGAAATGGATGAATTAGATCCTAAGAATTTGAATTATAAGGAATCGGTGATTATGAGCCGGGCTCAAGACCGATGTAGATGACGGTGATTATGAGCTGGGCTCTAGACCGTAGTAGATGACGGTGATTATGAGCTGGGCTCTAGACCGTAGTAGATGACGGTGATTATGAGCTGGGCTCTAGACCGTAGTAGATGACGGTGATTATGAGCTGGGCTCTAGACCGTAGTAGATGACGGTGATTATGAGCTGGGCTCTAGACCGTAGTAGATAACGGTGATTATGAGCTGGGCTCTAGACCGTGATAAAAAAATGATGAATTGATATTAAATGAACGGATTAACTATAATGTAATAATGCCCTAGTTGAGGGCCTCAGAGATTTAAACTTTGATTATACTTAGTATAGTTGTCATTGTACTTGTCAAATGCTTCCAAGTACTGACCTCCCCTTCACGGGGGAGGCCACCTCACAGTTTCAGGTAGAACTTGAAGGTTGCTACCACCAGCCGTTGCTTCGGGAGGTTTCTGAGGAGAAGACCTGGTTCGTGCTTCTCCCGTTCTTGTTTTGAAAAAACAATATGAATAAAGCTCATGGATAATATTTTCTGAATAATTACATTGGGGGCTTGCATGCCTAATTATGCCAAGTGTGGCTTGAACACTTGTATCAATTATTTCCGCTGCTTTAATAAATGTTTTACATTATGTTTGTTTATGGATGTACTATGTGTGAATGGTATTCAAGACGCCTTGTATAGTATGGATGAGTCGGACTGCGGTTGATTATTCGTACTGTACGGCGGGTTGTTGACGTGTCCGGGTAGGTCCGGGGCGTGACAATTTAATTGGTATCAGAGCCTTAGTCCGTAAACATCATAATGAAGCTTCAAAATTTCTTTTTGAAAATGAATTTGAAAAACCATGAGCATAAGTTTTGTACTTATAGAACTTTTGGTACTTGAGTTGCAATGCCTCTGATTGTTAAGATGGTACCCTTAACAATTGGTATGGCGGTGATTTGAGCCGAAGGATGTCTTTAAGTACCCGTCCGTCATTTGACACTCGATACGAGTCTAACGACTCATTCTAATTTCTTTCAGAAATGGAACCAATTGGAAGGATCACTAGGAGGAACCTGTTGGGCCGTGCACCGGGTGGGTCCGAGCGCGGTAGCCGGGGGTCCTCTAGGGGATCAAGAGGAAGGGGCCGTGGAGGCCAACGTCAAACCGTGAGCGATGGCCACGCTGATACCGAGAGTGAGACCTATTGGTCCTATGAGGACTCAACTTACCAGCCGGGGACTGAGCCAGTTGAGACCCCTTACGAAGAGAATGATGACGATGTCAGTGATGAGGAGGAAAGTGGCTCCTTGGCCAGAATCGAAGCGCTGCTCCAACAGTATCATCGGGAGCGCGAAGAAAGGAGGGCACGCAGAAGGCACCGTGCAGGGCAACCTTCGGGCGGGGCTCCAAGAGGGAGGAGCTTTTGTGATTCGAGAACCCATGTGGAAGCGCATAGGAGTCGGGGCGATGGAGGTCCAGTCATAAGGATCTCCAAATACATCAAGGAGGCGAGGGACTTAGGGTGCAAATCGTTCGACGGGACGGGAGACATCTCGGTTGCCGCCTAGTGGATCAAGAGGCTGAATGAGGCAGCCCTTGACATGCAGCTCACCCCCGATTTTAAACTGAGAATCGCGGTAAGGTTACTCGAAGGGTTGGCATCCAAATGGTGGGATGGAACCAAGGGTAAGTATGGCGGAACTGTTACATGGGAGGATTTTTGAAAAGAATTCTTTGCCCAGTACTACTCTGACTTCGAAGTAAACGCCAAGCTAAGGGAATACACTCTCCTAACCCAAGGCGGTAACATGACGGTGAAAGAACTTGAGAACAAGTTCAGAGACCTTGCTGATCACATACCGGAGTATGCTTGTGATGAAAACCGAATGGTGAATCATTTTTGGGAGTCCTTGGACTTGGAGATACGTGACAGGGCAACTCAATTGCCCAATATGACTTTCAGCCAAGTGGTTGCCCAAGGGTTGAAGGGAGAAAAGCAATGGGAGGAGAGGAAGAAGAGAGATGCCGAAGAGGCCAAGAAAAGGAAGTGGGAAAGCCATGGCCCCCAAGGTCCCAAAAAGAAGGGGAACCACGGGGGAGGTGGATCGTTCAGGGCACCGGCAGCACCATCCAAGGGAAACCCGACCACGAGCGGGCACTACTCGGGCTCACAAGCC